TTTGTATGATTATTTGTTTAATGATTCTACTACTGATGGAACTTGGGTTGCTTATAACTTGGAGCTGTTGTGAATATTCTCATCCATGGCAGACACGTGTGTTCATGTCTCCTGGGAAATTTGTACATCATAGGGTGTTGTTGAAAGGAGTGTAGTATGCATGGTACGTAAGGCGTGTGAGGATGTTGTGAGCCCCAGTGTCATGTGGTATGTGAATGTTACTGCAGTTGTCTATTACTCTGAGATTAGAGGAAGAAAACTGGAGACTTTGAGCTCTGGAGATGACACTTGATCTCATTAGGCCTCCCATCCGTGTTTTAGGTGCAGTCACGGAGCCAGAGAGAGAACGTGCCACCCCTGGGAACACCCAGGAATTTGCCGATGGTTCACCTCGCAAACTTGTCCTTTGTGAAATTCAATTGACAGAAAGTTTTGCAGACTGAATACTATTGACAGAGTGTCCATACTTGGACTTCCAGGAGGAGGACTTGAGGTTTTCTAGGGAAGTGGGGGGCATGGAGCAGGAAGGAGTTTGATACATAGAAGCGTGGACCCATGGTGAGCGTCCATCAGGGGCCCTCCTTCTGACCCCACCCTTCTTTCCCACCTCTCCACCAAATCCTCCAGCAGGTGTCCTTCGGTGCAGACTTAGATTACCGCAAATTCTCTGGCGGCCCAGCTGCTCTCTGTCTGAGTGCTTGTTCACCACTTTTCTAACTTTACCTTCGGACATGCTGTCCCCTGAGTGAGTGACTCTCTCACTGGGTTCCTACAAGCCGTATGTTAGCTGAACTCAATTTGGACACACAGTGGATTGGCTCCCCTGATGCATGCCCCATTGAACCTGACCTCCTTCAGAATGCATGCATGTAGTCGTTAGTTTCCTGTCTCCTTCCTGGTGAGGTGGTAAGACCCGTGAGGGTGCGGGTTGTGCCTGTCTTTACCCCACTCAATCCTCGGCTGCTAGTACGGAGCCTCATGCAGGAGGGAATGGAACTGCCTCTATGAATGGCCCAAAGCAGACACCCAAGGAATGAGTGAGTGAATGAATGAATGAGCAAGTGAACGAATGCCAGGTGCTGCCCAGAACATGCAGCTCCTCTCCAGTCCACCATAACCATTCTCTTCTAGGCACCATCACCTCAGCCTTTAGTGGTCTCCCTACTTCTGTCCATGGCCTCCTGCAGTCTCTTGTCAACACAGTAGCCAATGGGACCTTTTTACCTCATATCATGTCAGTCTTCTTCTCAGAATCCTTCAGTGGCTCCCATGTCATTGACCCAGCAATAGCACTGCTAGGAATCTACCCAAGGGACACAGGAATGCTGATGCATAGGGGCACTTGTACCCCAGTGTTTATAGCAGCACTTTCAACAATAGGCAAATTATGGAAAGAGCCTAAATGTCCATCAACTGATGAATGGATAAAGAAATTGTGGTTTATATACACAATGGAATACTACGTGGCAATGAGAAAGAATGAAATATGGCCTTTTGTAGCAACGTGGATGGAACTGGAGAGTGTGATGCTAAGTGAAATAAGCCATACAGAGAAAGACAGATACCATATGGTTTCACTCTTATGTGGATCCTGAGAAACTTAACAGAAGACCATGGGGGAGGGGAAGGGGGAAAAAAAGTTAGAGAGGGAGAGAGCCAAACCATAAGAGGCTCTTAAAAAAACTGAGAATAAACTGAGGGTTGATGGAAAGTGGGAAGGAGAGGTGGGTGGGTGATGGGCATCGAGGAGCGCACCTATTGGGATGAGCACTGGGTGTTGTATGGAAACTAATTTGACAATAAATTTCATATTTAAAAAAAAAAAAAATATATATATATATATATATATATATATATATATATATATATATATATATATAAAATGAGGAAGAATGTTGGCCAAGGGGTCAGACTTTGAGTTCAAATACCCGTTCCTCTGTATTGGCTGTGTGACTGTGCTAAGTTACTTTGCGTCTCTGTGCCTACGGATGAGTTCACTGAGAATACTAAATAGGAAGCACTTAGAGCAGTGCCACAGCATAGTTAGTGCTTAATAACTGTAGTTATTGGCGTGGAGAGGATGGAGTCAGAGAAGAAAAACAAAAATGGTGACATTATTGACAAGTATCAGAGCTTCAGGGTGAAAAGTACAGGCTGTACAATGCTGGGCTCAAGTCCTGGTTTGCCATTTACCTGCTGTGTGACCTCAGGCAGGTTATGTAACCTTGCTGAGTCTCAGTTTCCTCCTCGCACTTTGGAAGAGTCATAGTTTGTTCCTTGCAGGTTTGGGGAGAATTGTGTAATTTGAACAGTGCACAACACACACCGAGCTCTCAGTAAGTGTTGTTGATTTGTGTCTGTTTTACTAGCTTCCGTATGCTAGCCAGGTTTACAGAACTTGCCTCCCCGCCCCCTCCTGGTTTCCTGTCTCAAACTTTACACATATAAGATAAATTCTTGAACTTCTACTGGAACAGTTTCTTTTGAAGGCACCTTTCTCTCAATAGAGGCAGCCTTGACTCCCCCATCTGAGGCCCCACATGTCAGGCTTATCCTTGATTCTTTTCTTTTGCACCCCACACCCAATCCATAGGAAACCGTGTCTTTCTCTTTATGATGTCCAGAGTCCAGTCACTTCTCACTGCCTCCCAGCTCCCATCATCCAAAGCACCATCATCTCTCCCCTCGGTGGTTGTCACAGCCTCCTGCCTGTTCGTCCTGATTCTTCCCTGGCCCGTGTCGGTCCATTCCCAGTGCAGTGTGCAGAGCAATCCCATTAAGACCTCAGCCAAGTCACGTTCCTCCTCCGCTCGCCACCCAACGAGCTAAGGCCAAACCCCAGCGTGCTCTGGCCCTGTGGTCGCTCCGGCTCATCTTCCATTTTGCTCGGTCTCTTCCAGGCTTGCTGGCTTCTGTTCCTCAGGCATGATAAGCACATGCCTGCTGCAGGGCATTTGCACTCGCTGTGCCTTCTTTCTAGAATGCTCTTCTCTCAGTTGTTTGCAGGGGTTCCCCCCCCCCATTCCTTCAGGTTTTCACTTAGATGGCACCTTCTCAAGGAGACCTTGCCTGGCCACCCCAGCTAAAACGGCAACCCCAAAATTCTGCACATACCCCTTAAATTTTTCCCTATAGCACCTAATAATGACATATTTAGTTTCATCTTTTTACTGACTGTCTACCTTATTTAGAGTGAAGCTTCAGGGTGCCTGGGGGACTCAGTCAGTTGAGCGTCCTGCTTTGGCTCAAGTCCTGATCTCATGGTTTGTGGGTTCGAGCCCTGCGTTGGGCTCTGTGCTGACAGCTCAGAGCCTGAAGCCTGCTTTGGATTCTGTGTCTCCCTCTCTCTCTGCCCCTCCCCCACTTGTGCTCTATCTCTCTCTCTCTCTCAAAAATAAAACATTTTTTTAAAAATTAAAAATATATATAGTGCAATCAACACTGTACAGAGACGTAAACAGGCCTTCCAGACTCAGAACTTAACTCTGCCTGGGACAATCAGGAGAGGCTTCTCAGAGGAGGTACTGTTCGTTCTGAAGCTATTGGAGAAGTTGGAGCTCTCTAGGCTGCCAAGTTTCTTTCTTTCTTTTTTTATTTAATAGTGTTTATTTACTTGTGTGTGTGTGTGTGTGTGTGTGAGAGAGAGAGAGAGAGAGAGAGAGAGAGAGAGAGACGGACAGATGGAGTGTGAGCAGGGGAGGGGCAGAGAGAGAGGGAGACACAGAATCTGAAGCAGGCTCCAGGTTCTGAGCTGACAGCGCAGAACCCGACGTGGGGCTCGAACTCACGAACGGTGAGATCATGACCTGAGCCGAAGTCAGACGCTCAACCGACTGAGCCACCCAGGCACCCCGAGGGTGCCAAGTTTCAAGGGGCCTCTGGTACGGGTGACTGTTATGATGCAACAGCAGAGAGTTGGGGAAGCAAATGGCTTATTTGGAAGGAAAGATGTTTCACACATGTCAGACAGCCGAGGTGGTGCACAAGTCAAGAGAGGTAGTCTGTGTTGCAAGTTGTTTCTTAGGTCACGGAATCTGAGGTAGAAATTAGCAAGGGGGAGCTTTATTAGGGAGCACCTGATTAGGGAATGCCCTGGGGATCAGCTTCTGGGGAGGGGAGCGGAAGGAAGGAAGGAAGGAAGGAAGGAAAGAAGGAAAGAAAGAGAAAGAAAGAAAGAAAGAAAGAAAGAAAGAAAGAAAGAAAGAAAAAGAAAGGAAGGAAAGGAAGGAAGGAAGGAAGGAAGGAAGGAAGGAAGAAAAGAAAGAAAGAAAGAAAAAGAAAGAAAGAAAAGAAAGGGCTGAACAGAGGAGCATCTGGCTTGGGTGCAATCTTAATGAAGCCTCACGTGACCCCCTGGGCATTCTGAAGCTGGTCAGCTCTTCGGAGGTATCCCGAGTTGGGGGTGACAGGGCCAGGATTTTATGCCCACGCTTTGGCCCGTCAGTGGTTGTGGGCTCCCCCAGCAGGGGTGACTTTGGTTAAAGCAGCTCTTTTTAGCTGAGGCAATTCTAAAAACAGCTGATGGTTGGTGGCAGACAGCAGTTAGAGGGGAGAGTGCTGTCCTCTGTGGGGGTCTGTGTCCTGGCCTCCATCACTGCAGCCTGGCCCTACACAGGAAGACTCTGCCCTGCAGGCTGCAGAGAGCCATCAACAGCCTGTGAACATGGAAAAGACATGCTTCCAGATTTATTTGTTAGAGCCTCTGTGGCTCAGGTGGAGGAGAGAGGAAGGAAGCAGTGAGATCGGTTAACAACTTATGGCTTCTTGGGTGAGTGCTGATGAGGCCCTTAGCAACGCAGGCTCCAGTGGAAACACAGGTTTCTGGATAAATGAGAGTACTAAGTCACCATTCCTTAAGGGCCTGCCGTGCATCAGACTCTTGAACCTGTTGTCAGCTTTCACAGTAATTATGCCAAGTATGCGTTTTTACACAGGATGAAATTGAGGATCAGAGTGGTTCCGTTTCTTAAAAAAAAAAAAATCACACAGTAGTAAAGAACCAAGCTAGGAATAAACCCCGATTTTATCGTGCTTAACATGCCTCACTGTTTGTTATGAATCAGCACCTAGGACAGCTCCCCAAACATGGTAGATGCTCAGAGTGGTAGTCATTGTATTGTTCTCCTCACTGCTCTCGCCAGCGCGTTATCTGGATAAAATGTAGCAGATGTGCATTTCATTAGCAGAACCAGCACTGAGGATTGCTGACAGCTAATGATGATCCTGACGGTATTAGCAGCACACATATTCAAATGCAATTAAAAACTACCAATATAATAATCAAATGCAAATGAGCAGCACCAACAATTACTCGTGCATATACAAATTAGTACACGCAGTAATTTAGCGGAAGGCATAACGCGATCCTTTTCATTGCCTCTAACAAATTGCTGATTCCCCGTCCCCCCCCCGCCTCCTTACCCTCCTCTTCTCTGCTAACAGTTTCCTCTCAGTATTTGTCCACTCTCTCTGTTGGCAGACACGAGTCTAATTAGCTGGACTCTTTCAGAGCCAGGAGGCATCCTGTCACAGCTCAGAGGAGGGGCTGGCACTGTTGCCTGCCTAGAGCTGGTGGACAGAAGCACTGGAGAACGTAGTATCCTCTCTTGCTGGAAAGTAATGCTGCTCGTGGAAAATGTTGACCATCCTCTTGAGCAAATATTTGTTGAACAACCCCTGTGTGCCAGGCCCTGTGCTGGGTACCAGGAAGGCGGAGGTGGAGGTGCATTGGTTCATGTCTTTGGTTATTTATCTGCTAATTACTTGCTGACCTCCTGGTGCATGTTAGCATCTGGGCCAGGCGGCGGGGACACAGAGAGGAATAAAATAAGGCTGATGTTTTTAGTGAACTCACGGTCTTTTGGAGGAAAGCAGAGAATCAAATAGGTAACTTCCACACAGCATGTTGCATGAACAGTAGAGGTTAGGATTAGGTACTAAGGTTGTGTGTGCGGTGCACCTGCCAAAGGCTTGAGCTGCCTGTGATAGGATCCTAGAACTTCCTCTTACAAGTTGGGTGACAGCGGCCACACTGACTACCCACTCTGTGCATACTTACAGTAGTGATGTCAACAGAACTGACTCACAAAGGTGGGTGTGAGATTAAATGAGTCAGTACTCAAACAGCACTTAGCACAGAAGCCAGCACATGACAAGTGCTCAGTTAATGTGATCATGTCCTTATCACTGCTTTTGGAACTCAGAGGAGGGAAGGGCTGCCCCTCTACCCTAGGAGTTACTGAGTTCAGAAAGGCAAGAGAACGTCTGAGACAGGGCAGTACCTTGCGCTTGTCTTGTGGAAGGAACATACTCTGCCACTTACTGGGTCCGTGTCTGAAGCAATTTGACCCTGAATTTTTGCCTGTGTAAAGTGTGGATGAGAATACAGGCAATCCTCATTATTCATGGATCCTGTATTTGCAAATCTGCCTACTCACTAAAATTTATTTGAAACCCCCAAACCCATATTTATGGCACTTTCATGGTCCTTAATGGATATGAACAGAAAGAAAAAAAAATTGAGTCAACCTGGCATGCAAGTTCCCAGCTGAGGTTTAACAAGGGGACACTCTGCTTTGTTTCAGCTTCCATACTATCAACAAGTGTCCTTCTTGGAGTCTCCTTTGGGCCACACTTTTCACAGGTGTATGCTTTTTATTGTTGCTGTTATTTTAAATGGCCCCCAGCCTAGTGCTGCAATGCTGTCCAGTGTTCGTAATCACAAGAAGGTTAAGATAGGACTGACAGAGTGTTGCCTGTGTTAGAGAAGTGTCATTCAGGCATGAGGTATGGTGGGCTTGGCTGTGAGTTCAGTGTTAATGAATGATACATATTTGAAAGGTATCTTTAAACAGAAACTCACAAAAGCATGGTTATGAATTGATTGGTTGCTGAGAATGTTGTGGCCAGAGGCTCACAGGAACCTAACTCTGTAGAAGCAGTGCTTTGGTATTCATTAATTCCATGTTGACAGCAACTTCATAAGGACCACGAATGATGACAATCGGCTACATCTTCTTTGCAGCCATATTACGGGGACTAGTGTGGTACAGAAAGCACCCAGCACAGTGCCTGGCTGGGATCAGGCTCTCAGGGAGTCTGTTTAAACTGACAATAGCTTTACACATAAAGGAACTGAAATCCAAAGAGCCAGTGGAGTTCATAATAGCTCCCAAGCTAGAGCTTCTTTCCCAGCTCAGTGCTGGTTGGGGAATCTATTATATGCTTTACCTATTAAAATCTATAGTTTCCAGCAGACATATAATTTGTTTAAATGTTTTAGGGAAATATATATATAATTGCACCTATTGTAAATGTACAGCTTGATTAATTGAACACATTCATGTAACCAGCATTCAGATCATGAACGAGATATTACTGGCATTGTGGGAGCCCTTCTTACAGCCCTTAACCTCGCTGACCCTTTCCCAAGGGCACCATTAGCCTGACATCCAAAGCATAGACAACTTCTATCCGTTTTGTGCACTTTATATAAAATGGAAGCACAAAGCATGTTCTGTTCAGTCTCTGGCTTTTTTTGTTTAACACTATGTTGGAAAATTCACCCGTATTGCTGCTTTAACAAGCAGCATTCTGTATTTTGTGCAGCAAAATGTATTTTGTGCATTTTTATTGCTGAGTAGTGTGCTATCATGTGGACATGCCACAGTTATTTTACTATGAAAATTCTATAGGTGGTTTCCAAATTTGGGCTATTAACAGATAGCACTGCTATGTGCTTTCTGGTATGTCTTTGATTGAACATAAGTGCAAACAAAAAATTCCATTTAAAAGTATAAAAGTGAAGACTTCTGGTCCAGATAAAATGGCATAGACTCATTTATTCCCACTTAGCAAGGACTAAGTACAACTATAAGTCCTGGGAATAATAGAAGATAATTAAAAGATATCTCTGAAAAGTGTTAAGAAGAAGGAAAACTGGTTTGGGAGCCAGGGAAAAGGAACAGCACAGCAGCAGAATGTCTTTTGTTCCTCATCTAATGAACAAGGTGACCCAGACTCTGTCTCCTGACCTCCAACCTAAAAACAGCAGGCATTCCAGGCTCATTTCCCTCCTGGGCTAAATATACACAGTAACCACAGCAGAACTGGTGAGGAGGAATCAGTCACCAATCAGAAGCCCCACTAAGATAAGTGGCCAGGAGAGGTGCTTTCCTTCACTGCAAGGCCTGAGACCCATCCCTGGAGGAGAAGGACCAAACTGCTGGGAGCAGCAGGTAGTCTGGTCCAGTAAGTCTCTTTATCTTTGTGGGCCCAAGGTTCCCTCCCTCACCAAGAGACACCCAGTTTCTGGTCTAGAGAAGCTCCTTCTATCCCCTCAGGAACCACAGCAAGGAACCATGGGAACCCCAGCAGCATCAGATGAATCAGGCAGACCCAAACATTGCAAAGGCTCTGAAAACCAAAATGTCACTGGAATCACAGTCTGAAAAAGAATACCAAGACCCGCCTGCATGCTAAATCTAAACAGGGTGACGATCTCCCGGAATAAAATATTTAAATACAACCCAGAGTCTCCTAGTAAAAGATGACAAGTATAAGACGACATGCCCATGATACAATCGGAATTCTCCCATTGTACCAAGAACCAGGAAAATACAACTTGAATAAGAAAGACAATCAAATTATGCCAAAGGTGAGATGAATCAGATGTTGACATTATTAGATAAAGATATTAAAGCAGCCTTCATAAAAATGCTTCAGCAATCAATGACAAATTCTCTTGAAACAAATGAAAAGTAAAATAGAAAGTCTTAGCTAGGAAACAGAAGTCATGAAAAAGGACCAAAATAAATTATAGAACTAAAAAATACAGTAACACAAATTACAAAGTCACTGGGTGGACTCAAGGTGTCAGAGATTAGAATCCCTGAACTTGAGGACAAATCAGTAGAATTCACCCAATCTGGACATCAGAGAGAAAGTAGACTCAAACAATGTTTTTTAAAGAAGAAAAAGACAAGGTTCCAGAAGGAAATGGGAAAGAGAATGTGCCTGAAAGAATAATTGAAGAAAAAATGGCTGATTTTTTCCAAAATTTGACAAAGGACCTAAACAATGAAACTGTGAGAACCTCCAAATAGGATAAACACAGAGAAACCCACACCAAGGCACATCATGAATTTCTGAAACTAAGACAAAGAAAAAATCTTGAGAGCAGTGAGAGAACAATGTCATATTACCTATAGGGAAGCACTGATCAGAGTGTCAGCAGGTTGGTCCTCTGGAACCGTGGAGGGGAGAGGGAAGTGGCACAAGTTTGTTCAAGTGAAGAAAGGAAAAAATGGTCACTGCCCATTCTATAACCAATAAAGCTGTCTTTCAGGAATGAGAGGGAAAGAAAGACTTTTTCAGATGGAGTAAAACCAAAATAATTGTTAATGAGCAGTCATGCCCTTAAGGGTTAGCTTAAGAAATTCTCCAAACAAAAAGGAAATGATAAAAGAATTTTTGAGCACCAGGAAGAGTTAATAATGCAGAAATATGGGTGTGTATAATAGGCTATCCTTTTCCTCAGGAGTTTTATAAATCATATTTGGTGATTATAGCAAAAATTACAACACCATCTGATACTCAAGACAATGATATTTAAAATGGGTAAGGTAAAGGAGCCTAAAAGGAAAGTGTGAGGTTTCTACCCTACACCGAAGTAGTAAAATTATGATAACAGTAGACTGTGAGAAGTTATGTATGTATATTATACTAGCCACAGCGACCAGTAAGAAACTATGCAAAGAGGTACATTCTTTAAAACCATACATATAAGTAAAGATGAAACATTTAAAATGTTCAAGTAAGCCACAGGTAAGCAAGAAAAAAGGTAAACAAGAACCAGAAGTAACCCGAAAACAAAAATGTAGACTTAAGCATGAACATCTCAATAATTACCTTAATTGTCAATAGTTGAAGTACACCACTGAAAATGAAAAGGATGACAGAGTGCATAATAAAACACAATTCAACCATCTGCTGTTTTAACGAAACTCATTTTAAATACAGCAAAGGTTGGTTGAAAGTAAAAACATGGCAAAAGATGTACCTGGCAAACATTAATTAAAAAGAAAGAATGACTATGTTAACATTTGATAAAGTAGACTTTAGAGCAAAGAATTTTTTTTTTTTGCGTCAAGGAGGAGCCTGACATAAGCATAAAAGAATCAATCCAGCATGAATACATGACAAACTTAAATATGTATGCACCAAACAACAGAAACTCAAAACACACGAAACAAAATCTTATGTAGCTGGAAGGAGAAATGGACAAATCTATAATTATAGTTGGGGACTTCCACATCCCTCTCTTACTATAACTCCCTTTCAAAAATCAGGAAGGACATAGAAGATATGAACAAAACATTTAATCAGCAGAATCCAATTGATGTACATAGAATATTCAACCACTAACAACAGCAAAATATGCTTTTTTTTCAAGCACTCATGGAAAATTTACCAAGATAAACTATACTTAGGGCAATGAAAAAGAATTACAATCATTTTGAATATAATTTGATTGTAATGGAATCAAACCAAAAATCAATAAAAAACACAAAAGGAAAATCTCAAACACTTGGAAGTTAAACAACAAACTCATTTATAACCCGTGGATCAATTAGTGAGTCTCAGAGACAACTTTTAAAATACATTTAACTGCCAATCCATGAGCACGGAATGTTTTTCCATTTCTTTATATCTTCTTCAATTTCCTTCATAAGCTTTCTATAGTTTTCAGCATACAGATCTTTTACATCTTTGGTTAGGTTTATTCCTAGGTATTTTATGATTCTTGGTGCAATTGTGAATGGGATCAGTTTCTTCATTTGTCTTTCTGTTGCTTCATTGTTAGTGTATAAGAATGCAATTGATTTCTGTATATTGATTTTGTATCCTGTGACATTGCTGAATTCATATATCAGTTCTAGCAGACTTTTGGTGGAGTCTGTGGGGTTTTCCGTGTATAATATCATGTCATCTGCAAAAAGTGAAAGCTTGACTTAATCTTTGCCAATTTTGATGCCTTTGATTTCCTTTTGTTGTCTGATTGCTGATGCTAGAACTTCCAGAACTGTGTTAGACAACAGCGGTGAGAGTGGATATCCTTGTTGTGTTCCTGATCACAGTGGGGAAGCTCTCAGTTTTTCCCCATTGAGGATGATATTAGCTGTGGGCTTTTCGAAAATGGCTTTTATGATGTTTAAGTATGTTCCTTCTATCCCGACTTTCTCAAGGGTTTTTATTAAGAAAGGATGCTGAATTTTGTCAAATGCTTTTTCTGCATCGCTTGACAGGATCATATGGTTCTTTTCTTTTATTAATGTGATGTATCACATTGATTGATTTGCAAATGTTAAACCAGCCCTGCATCCCAGGAATGAATCCCACTTGATCATGGTGAATAATTCTTTTTATATGCTGTTGAATTCAATTTGCTAGTATCTTATTGAGAATTTTTGCATCCATATTCATCAGGGATATTGGCCTATAGTTCTCTTTTTTTGCTGGGTCTCTGTCTGGTTTAGGAATCCAAGTAATGCTGGCTTCATAGAATGAGTCTGGAAGTTTTCCTTCCCTTTCTACTTTTTGGAACAGCTTGAGAAGGATAGGTATTATCTCTGCCTTAAACGTCTGGTAGAATTCCCCAGGGAAGCCATCTGGTCCTGGACTCTTATTTGTTGGGAGATTT